GGCCAGCACAGCCATTGCCTTCTCCTTCATCATGAGTGTGCTTCTGTACATCAAGGCCAGGAGGGCTCCCAAGGCAGCCCTGTCCCCTGTGGGCAACTCAGGTGGGTACAGATATTCTCAAACACTTCAGGTTTATAGTCTGTTATTCCTAGTCTATCAGGGTATAGACATGCTTTGTACGCGGATGCTGAGGCTTGATGGCAGCCTACCGTTTGCCTCTGTCTTGTGCATTCACCACATTGAGGTTGAGGTACATAGAGTATATTGGATATCCTTCAGAAGAGTTATATGGTCTATTCATCTCTTCTTTATGTCATTGTATCAATAATGGTTATAGAGATCGTTATTCAAGCACTAAATATTACTGATTTGCAATCTCTGTGCTTGATTAACTTTTAATCAGATAACAGTATAAGGTATGGTTTAGTATTTTCTGTCACCATATCATCATGATTTTGACCACATTCTGTCACCTCATCATTTCAGGTAATGTGATCTATGACTTCTTCATCGGTCATGAGCTGAATCCTCGCATCGGCAGCTTCGACCTGAAGTACTTCTGTGAACTCAGGCCTGGACTCATTGGATGGGTAAGCCAAACTTGGACAGTTTTTGAGGCAAAAAGTTGTGTCCCATAAACCCATATATTAAAGGATTTTACTATCTTTGTGCAATAGAATTTTCATGTATCAAATAGTAACCAATCATGTATCAAATGAATAACATCTGAATGTCAGCCTGCGAATTTCAACCTCTCTTCTGTCTACTGCAGGTGATCATCAACCTGTGCCTGTGTGGGAAGTACTGTGTAGATCACGGCCAGCTGTCCACCGCGCTGACCTGTGTCACGCTGTTCCAGGCCCTGTACGTGGCAGACGCTCTTTGGTTTGAGGTGAGTTTTTTTTGTGCTTGTCTAAACTGTGAGAGTAAGCCTTGTAAAACAAATGTTTTTCAATGTTTGTAGAAGAATTTCTTTCCAAATGTCCTTGTGTGTCCTCATCAGTACTAGTGTTAGCACACCCCTTAGAGAGTGGATTAGCTGAGAAACCTAGTGTGTGTCATTCTGCTGTACAGTGAGGAAGTGCCGTACCCAAGGGCACAACATCGTGCATGTCGGGGGTTTGAACCTGGGAGCTCTTGGTTCTGACCCAGCCATTCTGACCGTTATGTCCTGCAATGACACTTGAAATGTTTGTATTTTTTTATGATTATTTCATAATGTTAATGCTCTACAATCCTTCAATGTGAGTAATTGAATATTGACACCAATCGTTGTTTGTATGTTCACACCACAGGATGCCATTTTGACGACCAGTGACATCACAACTGAAGGGTTTGGGTTCATGCTGGCGTTCGGTGACCTTGCCTGGGTGCCCTTCACCTACTCCCTGCAGGCCCGCTACCTGGTCGACCACCCCGAACACGACCTCACCAACGTGCAGGCTGCTCTCATCGTGCTCCTCAACAGTAGGTTTCCTACATGATTCATGTTTTAATTAGTTTAAATTCTTGGGTGAATTATTTTCCTACTTTAATCCAGTTGTAGCCTCTGTTAACAATTGTACACAGCCCCTGTGCCATCCGATTTGCTACTCGCCTCCTTATGATCACTGGCCAGAAAAATATTCATAGGGAGTATGTACTTGTAGTTGTAATCCAAGTAATTATGATTGTTGACTACAATGTTTTATAATGAAGCAAATTGTGGAACAATTTCATGATAGTAATGTCTCAGTCTTCACCAGTAGTTGATGAAATTTTTCAATACTGATTCAGCCTCTGTCTTTGATTTTTGTAGTGCTTGGATTCTGGATCTTCAGAGCATCCAACTCTCAGAAGAACGCCTTCAGACGAAACCCCTATGACCCCAAACTTCAGCGTAAGTAAAAGCACAATAGTCCTTTGTTTGAAACGCTGCACTTGATCCTATTTCACTCCAAATACAAAAAGTGTATGTTGTATCTGGGTACTGTTAGTTTTAGAATGATGAAGCTTGCTGTTATTGTAATTGGGATAGTACATGTTTTGTCTATATTAGCTATCTGCTTGAGAGAATGTGTTAATTCTTGTTCTGCAGAGGGAGGTTAGAGCTGTGTATGCCTACTAACCCACTTCACTTCTCATCTAGTGTCTGCCTCTGGGTTTGACTCACCAACAGATAACAACAGCTCCTTCACAACCTCCCCGCAAAGGATCTTGGGAGATATGTCCATGACCTTGTCCTCTGACTCTCTCACGGACGTGAGCTCCCTGTCCGACCTTGGGAACCTGTCCCTCGGCAGCATGTGTGCCAACCCCCCGTCTGTCTTGCACAACGACACCACTCTCAGTGACAGCTTCTCAGATGAAGAAGACATGGTCTCTCCCGACGTGGGTTTTGTTAGGTCTGGAAATAGTACCCTTCAGGAAATCAGCTCTCTGTACAGCCTCTCTAATAATGGTAGGAGGTTTGTTTCTCTCCTAGGAACTGGTAGCTGGCAGTGGTGAAGGGAAGCATGCTTAGCAAGGTCCCTGCATGCTGCATCCAACTACACTTCTAACTCATTTCATCCCCACATTAGCCTGCTGAAGCTGCATGGCCCCAATGCCCTCTAACAACTAACTATAAAATCACCATGCGGTCCTAGTCTCGATGTCTACTCAGAATGGCTAATGCAATCATATTTACTGACTCATTGTTATGTAAGAGTCAACTCTGTCTCTAGCAACCACTCAAATGGTCTTATTAGTAGACAGATGGCCCCTATATGTTTGATGCTCACTCAGGTCGATGTGAAAAATGATCGAAGGGACTTCGAAAAAAATGGCCACAATGTCAGGTGGTCCTTGTCTTATGCAGAGTTGGTTACTAGTACAGGTTTTACTGTATTTTAGATACTTCTAGATCCGTACAATAACTGTACTACTCTATTCTAACATTGTCTTTGAAGTTATAGAAGAATTTTGACCCTTTCTTCTAAAATGTGCATATACCTTTGTGTGCAGGCCTGGAGAGCATCCCTACCAATGTGACCAACAAGAGCCTGCTGGTGTCTGGATGGTGGGGCCTGGTTCGCCACCCCAACTACCTGGGAGATCTCATCATGGCCCTGGCCTGGTGTCTGACCTGTGGTAGGTTTGTGTTTTGTGGCTGTCTAATGTGATCATAGCTCTCGACCAATCAGGAACCTTTCTCTCAACAGTACAGGTGTTGTGTTTTGTGGAGAGCACTAACTTTTAATCAAAAGTACATACATATGCTTGATTGTATTTGTTGATGTGATTAAAAATGCAAAATCCTTTTTTTTTTGTACAGGTTTCAACCACATCGTCCCCTACTTTTACGTCATCTACTTCACCATCCTGCTCATCCATCGAGAGAGGCGCGACCACCTCGTGTGCCAGAAGAAGTACGGCGCAGCCTGGGACAAGTACTGCGAGCGTGTCAAGTACCGCATCTTCCCCTACATCTACTAAACAGCCCGCATGGACTTCATTATCTTCAAAAAAATGTCTGTGTTATGACGCTACTGTATATAAGCCGATCTGTGGTAGACTGAAGTGCCTTGATATGGTTGGACTGTAGATGTTGAAGTATTTTTGTTTGACAGTAGTTTAGGAGAATACTACAGCACTCCCGCTGTCTTTCATTCAAGATTAAACGTCTTCGTTTGTGTCATTCCAATAATAAGGCTATTTAACGATTTTTTGTTATCATGTCTTTGTGAGATTTTGTACTTAATATGGGTCAAAGGTTTCATGAATCAAAACAATTTAATAAGACTTTTCCAAAGAAAGGTTTATGAAATATTATTGCTCAGGAACTTTTGGGACAGGAAAGTACGTATAACAGGCTCATCTTCGAAAAAAATGTTCTGTAAATAAATATGTAATGCTCGTTCAATATTTGAAGAATTGTGACTTTCGTGTTTTAACTTTAATGTTATTTTTATTTGTGATTTAAACTGGTGATATTTGGTGTGTGTATAGTATTGCTAAGTATAACTGTTTGTTTCCAACATTGCTTCTCAACATTTTAGATAGTTGTTTTGTTAGGGTTGTAGGATTGTCTCTAACAATGGGAAATACTAATATTAAGAATGGACAAGTAATTGCTGAATATTGGCAATGTATAAGAGGTATTTTTATACAGTAATCTATGGGTATGGACGCATATCTTCAATGTGAGAAATGCTACTTAATGAGTGAGACAAAATAGAAATGTACGGTGTGTTTTAAAACATGGTAAATTTTATCTCATGGCAGCTATGACACTGCCAGCTCTGTCTTTTGAAGCTGCCATATCATTGCAAATTGACAGGTGGCACTTCTATCTGTAATTACTGCTATTTAGTCAGTGTCTTGCTTGGCCATCAAGATTAAGCGTCCATGTTGGTAACAAGTACCAAACATTACCCACTACATGTTTTCTTAAACTTTTTTGTTAAAAGTCATGCAAACAAATTGCTGAATTCAGAAGCTGGCCGAAAGGCTGGAAAATTTTTGTCACTACTTTGTAAAAGAGCCAAGGACATGTTTTTGCTGTACGTATCACAAGGTTGTGCCTGCTAATGTGATATTTTTGGTAACAAGAGAAAAGACATGTATAGCCTGAAACTTGGCCCTTTTAGGGTTGGTCTCTGACTCAAATTTCAGTGTCGGTTCTTTGATAGAGAAAACCTGAAACGTACAGTTTTGTGTGACAATAAAGAACAATAAAAGGTAGGAGCCCCTAGATATTGTTTTATTGGACTTTACTAGATATTGGACTTCACATGACTGTTGTCCACAAGACTGGTTTATATGCTAAGAGTACCTACCATTTATTTTATCTATCCATCCACTACTGAGATGAACTAACAATATGTTATTGTATGGTGCATGAACTATACTTGGTGCTCTGATAAGGGATGAAATCGTACCCCTGTAAGACTTTGTGTGGTTTGTTTTTGAATAAATTCTGTGCGAACAAGAAGTCAGACTCAATCTTCAGTCTAAATAAGAATTAGTACAGGGAAGACATTGATGCAAAAACTGTATAGTATGGCTGGCAGTTTCAACCAGGAAACTTTAATGATCTAGAACATTTAAGTTGGTGTCAAAAGACAGTATGCATATGTATATGTATAAGAATGTATTATAGTGCAAAATATTCATGAACTACAGACAAACAATGGAGAGGGACCTGCAAACAGTAAGTATGAACTGGAAGGATGTAGAGAGACTGACCACAGACTAGACTGCTCTGGCTGACTCGTTTTTTGGATGACATGGGAGCTCCTAAGTAAGTAACCTAAGTAATATTCGTGTGAATTTGCTAAGTTTGTTTCAATGCCCTTTCTAATTATGTTTATAGTCATTGCTCCGACAAAGCAGACGGCATTTCTCTATATATAGTCTGCATGAAAATCAATATTTACGAACAGCTTAAAACATGCGTAAAGTTAAAAGTTATGTTTCTTCATTCTAATGTAAAATGGAACCTTTACGCTTAAAGATAGGATTTTCATAACTAATTGTCACACCTAAGTATGTATGGTGATACACCTGTTTTCAAGGAAGATCTAATATGTTGGTGCTTGTTTAATATAGTCATCTACCGTAAGGTTACGTTCTATTCACGTTGTTTACCTTTACTAAGTGTGTCGCGTATGAAGGTCCTCCTGTCTTTGGTCTGTTGCCTGTTGTGTCCCGTCGGAAGTCTTGAGGTGGGAACAAACCCCTTAACGTCAGGTACGTCTGTTCCTTTCCTTGACTTTTCCCGCCCATGATTATTGTGCATGTAAAATTTCCTCTCATGCATGCGACTTGCTCCTCCAGGAAAATCGTCACTGCCCTGTTTTTTGCCTGGTGGCTTGAACGTCCAATCTGCCCCGTGCTTTCCTTGCTTGTTTTCATATGCATTTCTCCTGGTAAAAGGAGACGCGTTATCGTTATGATATTTTTTGCTAAACGTCCGTGGTCCAGTGGTGAAATGTAGTATGCTCTCCATGTTCGGTCTCGCATTTTCGTTCAACTTTTTCTGGTGGGGAAAGATGGGTTGTTCGTGATTTGGGCTTCCGTTTGCCTCCTCGCTGTACATTTGTCGAAAATAGGTTCTTGCCCTTTCTCTACCAGGGTACTCTTCACCCATTTTGTTGTATTTTTCACGGTTTTCCTTCCTTCGGGTGGGTAAATGCCATGGTTCATTGAAGCGAAAAGGAAAGTCAGCATCCTTCGGGCTGAAAATGACGAAAGGCCGCGAGTTGGGCCCCCATGGTCCGTTGGCCTTTTTGGCGAATTTGAACAGCATCAAGAGCTCGGCGATGATTTCTTCGATTTGAATGTCAAACTGCCTTTTTCTGAATCTTTGACTCTCAGATGAAGCCTGGCCTTCGCGTTTGAACTTCTCCACTCCGCTGTGACCATCTTTGTCGTACACCGCCCGCAGTTGCTCGTCGGTAAGTACTTCGTACGCTTCGACGATCTCTGTAAACCGGGCCTCGGCTCCCGGATCCTTGTTTTTATCCGGGTGGTGCTCGGCTGCCAGTCGCCTGAAGGCCCGCTTGATGTCTGCGGATTTTGCGTTACGAGGAACACCCAAGACTTCGTAGTGATCTAGATCTTGCTTATCGGCTGTGCAGACTGCAATAATAAAAGCACTGTGCCATGCTGCCAACAAGACAATCCAATATGGAGAATACGGTCGCATGCTGTTCCACATGTGCGTTCTAACTTCTAGTGAAGTTCATCGTCATCAGGTCAGCTCGTATTTGCAAACATAACAAGGTTCGCCACACACCGTTCAGAGTTTGTCAGCAAACAGTATTTCAAACACGCTCATTTGAAAAATGGTTGTGGAAATATCCGCCCGTTGGCTGAATGAACAGTTCCATAGTGCTATTCTCAGTGCTGAAGTGAAGTGCTTGAAGTCACCTATTCATAACTGTCTCTATGGATACCAATAAACAGCGTGTTGAAGTACGGCTTTTCTCTGTCCGGGTAACTGGTATCTTCTAAATTGGTATGTTTCCCGCGTAGGGAATTTTTGTTTCTTTTTCTCTGCAGAAAGCGCATAATGGATGTAATAATGAAGGGCGAAGAAAGCACCAAACATGCGATGATCTAGAATCCAGATCTCCCGTTTTAAAACAATGTGCCTGGTACTTCAATGAAATTGAAATGGACAAGAAATTAGTGAATACGTTTGATTTAATGCAAAAGCTTTAACACACTATTTGTCTTCGTCAGAAGGACTATGAAATTGTCTCGCCGGAGTGTGGGGAACTGCGGATTTTGCGATATAACTCTGGAAGGCATCATTCGACGTCCATGATTTTTGGCAGGCAGATTACCGCTGTTGAGGCCGAAGTCAAGTACAAGTTTCGGCTTCGTGGGGGGTCCGTGCGTCACGTTAGTGCACCTTTTGTGTTTGTGGCTTGTTAGCAAGATAACTCAAGTATTTGTAAAATGTTGATTATAATTCTTGGTGTGGTGCTTACTATTGTCGGGACCAAGGTTAAGTTCGTTACTGAGCTTCGTGGGGGGTTTCGTTGTGACTACAGGGGGCATTTTGTTAATTTTTCTTGTGAGCAGGATAACTTTTGTATGTGTGGATGGAAGTTAACGAAATGTGATAGGCATGTTACTGTCGTGGTCTCCAAGATTGAGTTCTAAGATGAGAGTCGTGGAGGTCGTTATGTCCCCGTAATAGGACCTTTTGTGTTTAGAAACCCCCCACCTACATCTGCTTGGAGACAGCCGACAGCTGGATATAGCCGGGGAACCCCATAATGGGATGGGATCAAATGACGTTACATTGAGGGATTGTACTATAACTTCAGCAGGGGGAGGATAGGTTGGACATATGTCAGGTTATTTTTTACGGCCACACCAAGTAATTGCTATGGATGACGTCCACTGGAGACCTTAAATCTAATTACCTTAAATTTAAGGCAAGCGCGCAATAAAAACGCGAAGGGCCGAAAAGCGATATGCCTAGATTTGGAATAAACTAACTGTAGAAGTACAAATGTTAGGACACAAAGAACACAAGAAACAAGTCTTCTATTGTCATAAAGACAAATTAACAAAACAGCAGTAGTCACCCTGTTCTGATTCTTTCCTTTATAACATCTTCTCTTATTATATTTTGCGGCGCTGTCGTGACACTTTCAACACAGTAAGAATTTCTTGAACGTTTTTTTCCAGTAAAGCCACACCGACTTAATTTTATGGATGACATCCTCTGAAGACCCCCAAACTAGTGCGCGCGGGCGAAAAAAAAATAAAAATCCGGCCAAAAATAAAAATGAAAAGAGCGAAGAATACGCATGTTAATTTCTCTAGAACGATGTACCTCTGACGAAGACATGAGATCTCCGACCTCTAGTTGAGAATAATTTATACATTTTACGTACATTTTGTATTCTACGGAGCATACAAAAAGTTTTCTCCATTATGAAATCTAAGTGGTCAGGAAGGTGAAACAAAATGACTGAGCACACAGAACATGGTACAACACACAATGAATTGTTTTTATTTTTGTTCTTTCACATCTTTGAAAATCAATTTAATGTCAAACTCCATCTCCGTTCAACTTTTCCAATAGAACATCTACGCTTATGGTATACGTTCACTGCAACTCGGACGTAAGACCTTGGCATTTTCACCAACCTAAACTTCGGCAGTGCTTAAAATCTGTTTCCCCTTCCGAAAAGCAACACACGCCCTGATTTTACTGGCCCTAAGTGCTTGGCCAGGCCTTACAGATCTTCTTATGCCCTGCCTTCCACGCCACCTTCTGACATTTGGGAGTACAGTACCAGGCCCGGTGGCAGCGGCTACAGACGGAGAAGGGTTCGTCTTTGGGCGCCTTCTTCTCGCACTGTGTACAGATGCTGCAGTCGTCCCCCTCAAACTTACACCTCTCGCACTCGCACCAGAAGTGGTAGGCGCGGTAGAGCCAAGCGCGGCGCTGGGGGCGCTGCATGGACGTGTCGATGTACGTGGTGTACAGCTCCCCGCCTTTCTTGATGCCCTGCTTGGCCCGGATGACCACCCCGGGCTTCCCGTCCACCATCCCGTCCATCACATCCACGTTCTTGTCGCAGGAGTGGTTCAGGCTGGACTGCAGGGCGTACAGGCCGCCGAACGTCACGTCCTTTGGCTCCCCCCGCATCTCCTGCGCCACCCGCCGGTGGTTCTCCCCCGGACGGGACGTGCGGTGGAACTCCGCCACGAACTCGTGCCAGGTGACGCAGGGCGGCCCGAACGACTGGACGTTACACGCCACCTGGTAGTAGCGCCTCTCGAACTCCAGCTCGTCGATCTTGTACTTGATCTCGGTGTTCTGGAAAATCGCTTGCATGATCTTCAGCATCTTAGGAATCTGGGAGAAAGACAAACATACCGCCACATATTGAGCTACGATCATACAGTGAACAGCATACACATGTGTAGGCTTGAAAATAGACTAATCATAAACTTTGCAAATAGTTAACGGATATAGTAGCCACTCTATTGGTCGAAACGATAATTGCCATTCTCTCATTGGTCAAAGAGTTAACTTATTGTGATAGGCAGTCAGGATCGGCCTATTGGTTGGTTGGTTGAAAACCGATCGTACAACACGACAGAGACAAACATCCTCCCCACCTGTTTGACGAAACCAGACACACCGAAGCCGAGGAAGCGGCGGTACGGCTCCTTGGCGCGGGCCCAGTCGTCTTTAGTAGGTTCCCCCTTCACGCCCAGCTCCTTCACACGGGTCAGGATGTTCGCCCAGATACGCGCCATGATCATCGGGCTGAACATGGAGTTCCACATCCCTGTGGGGCAGACAGATCATGACAATGGCAACAAACGAGGACTAGTTCATTGATAGGTGTTTTGTACAAATCTCTACATTTTCTACAGTTTGATTTGCGATTGTTTGCTACACGGAACTTGTACTTGGCATTGTGGTATGAATGGATGCCTGCATACATAAGATTCTGACATCATGAAGATTCTTGCATTGTAAATCACGATTTTTTTGCGGTACTTTAATATTCGCGGGTTTCCTGGTCACTTCTGTACTGCACACTTATCTTTACCGTGAAAAAAAAAATTTTTCCAACTTCCTTTTTGCTGCACGAAACGTTACCGGTGTACGTACAATCCGCTTTTCTCAGACCGCGAACTTTTGGTACGGCGAACATAAAGAGGTATTTTCCTCTCAGAAAGTTGCTTACCTTTCTCCTGCGTGGTCCCCTTGGCGCAGAAGTCGTACAGTTTGGCGGCCGGCGGGTTGATGGAGGGACAGAGGTGGCAGTGGTGCTGCCTCCAGGCGTGAGTCCGGCACTCCAGACTGCAGTACTTCTCACGCTTACAGTGGGGGCACGGGTACGACGTCACCTGTAGCACGGTACAGGACAGACATTTACAGCCGTGAGAGTATCGTTTGTGGTGTACCCCTTTCCTTGGATGGTAGCCATCACTAGTTTAGTCCCCGGTTGGTCCTGTAGATAGCCTGGATGCTAGACTTGTATGGGCCACCAGTCAGAGTTTAACTGAGGAGCCTCCATTGTAAAATTGCATTGGTTGGGGACATGCGAACTTGTCTGTATACTTGCCCTTGCGTCAGTCTGACACCCAGGCTATCATATCTAATGTTATGGCCTCAAATGACCTCTCAAATTATTCAAGCTAGAATAAAATAAATAGGAGCTAAAATCTTTTCTCTATAGTGCACGTGATTCTGTGGCACATGTTTCTACCAGAATGAAGAAGACATCATGCTGGTACTTAGTATGTGCACTTGTCTGTGGCACACGTCTTTACCAGGATGAGAACTGACGACGTTCATACTGGCACTTTAGATGTGCATTTCCCAAGAGTTCTGTTAAAATCAGGTGAGTTAGGTTAGGATCGAACCTACGACCTTGTTATTCGCAGGCGTCATTTCTACCAACTGAGCCATGCTAGCTGCTGTATCTACATGCTGTACTTAGGGTACCATGCTGTACCATTATGTTTTAGTGCACGGGTATTTCATTGCAGATGGCGTCTGACTTACATAGGTCCAATCAATTGCATACTAGTATACAAATACATACACAAAGGATAATTGCAAGTACAAGTAACTTGAAACAAGAAAATAATATTGACAAATACAATGTTATTGAGAACCTGTTCCTACAGCGTACTGAATACTACATTCTAAAATATACTTCAAGCTAGATTTGTTGGGTTTGACTTCTTCTTTTGAGGCAGTGGAAGACGAATTGGCCCTCTTCTTCTACAATCTGAAGTTTCTATGATTTTAATAGTAGAATTTTTTCATGCTCAGGACTGACACACCCACCTTCGGCCAGGCCTTCTTGATGATAGCCTTCTGAGCCTTGTTCATCTTCCTGAACGTGTCCAGTCCGAAGTAGTCCTCGGCGGTGAGGAGGGAGACGGCGCAGTGGCTGCAGGCGGGGTGCGCCCGGGCGGAGTCGTCCGTCTGCGCGGAGATGACGGGAGTGTCCCGGAACAGCTCCTGCCCCTCCTCCACGTCCTCACTACAGAACACCGCGCGGCCGTACTTCGTGAACCTCACCTGGAGACGTTGTTAAGGGTACATTATGTAACATATTTACAGCAAAAATGTCTTAATTCAGGAAACATTCGTGTGATAGTAATTAACTTCCACTTTTAAACATATTTGTTTAATTTTCTCACATTTCTGACATTTATGGTTGGCGCTAAAACAGCCCGCACGAGAAGCACATGTACAGTTTGTGGCACCACCACCAAAGATCAGAATGTAAACAAAGATGGGTGACAGCTGTGTTTCAAACTTTTAAATACACACGTAAGGTGTCACATTTTGGCACCTCTACTCTACTCCCTGAATTGCACTTATTTGCAATGGAGCACTAGGGTTGATTCAACTTTAGAATCAAAGAAATGACCAAAAATTTACTTTTGTACCATCCTAATGATACAAAACCTTTAAATGAATACTTGAGAGTTTACTTGACATGTGTAAGTAAGTTCATTGTTAACATTGCTGTGCGTAGAATATGTAAATATGAAAGTGTTTTGCAGCTTTGTGATGAAATGTTAAAATGGAATTCTGACAAAAGATAGGACTCTCACTCCTACAAGTTATGCAATGTAAGTGGAGAAGAACATCAATTTAAATAGATTTATTTGGAGGCCATTTTGTATATCCTGAACGATTGTCACGTAACCAACGGATTCAGAATAGTGGAGTTGCCCAATTGGCTGCGTGGTAAATAAGGGCCTAATTTGCCTAATCAATTAAAAAATGCAATGATTCCTTAGCTACAGTGGTAAATGATGTGAAGTTCATACGTACGATACGTGTAATTTAGTTAAAGGTGAACATCACTTAAAAAATTATGTAAATGCGGATTATGTAAATGCGGAGTTTATTTACTTAATTAATGATGAAATGTTGAAATGGATTGGCACCCTGTCAAAGGAAATGATTTATGTCACACGCATTATGTAAAATTATGTAATTTCAGTATAGACGGCCATCAATTAAAATAGATAGTGATTAATCACAACCTTGTTTTCATTACAAATGAGACAAAATATAAAATCTAGCTGCATATAATTTATGGAGGAATGGGATCTCCGTTGTCTTTTTGTGTGTATGCTTTTATAACCATGTTATTATGTAAATAACAAGGTCTCTTGAAGTAGACTAAAGAAAACGATTCGCGCGGTTTACCTGCACAGACGTGCCCTCGGTCAGAGGGTCATAGAAGCGGTGGATGCGGGTCTGCTGGAACAGCAGAAGAGCCTCGTAGTCGTTGCCCTCGGTCAGCCGGCTGGCACGTCGGAGCCACACCTCGGACAGCACGTACTGTCCCAGACTGGACAGCACCCTCCCTGGATAGTGAGGCAAATATTTCATTTAGCGCTTTTTGCACATACAGTATTTTTCTCATCGTTTACATGTACAAATCCTAGTTTTGTTTATGCGTTCCCGTTGGCATATTTTGCCACATGTGCTGATTTATTGTTTAGTGCTGTCGTTCATATAAGCAAGTGTGCGGCACCACTATATATTGGATTGTATAAAGAAATTGCTAGAAGAAGAAATACATGTATGACTAAAAAATGGTCAAACAGAGACATACGAAACCCCTTGTGCGACACCAGCCTATCGCGAACATTTTTCCGCGAAGTTTGTGTTGACATTTGGCCCTGTCGCTTACAGCGGTTGACGCAGGTGTCATGTTCATTAAAGCAGAGAAATGCCCATGATTGACGTGCACAGAGCGGGGATAGAGCCACGGGACATAAAGTTATGTTTCCACTTCTGTCAGCACGTGGCATTGGCTTTATGGCCTTAACAATGGCCTTGGGTGAGAAGAAAATATGTTCAAGTTCGCTTGCTGTGACCCACTTATGGAGACTCCTGTTGGGCAAGGATTAAACTACGGACGATTTCTAAAAAGCATTCCTTGGGCCTTAGACAGATACTGACAGCTAAAAATAAGCTCCAACACTATAAATGTAATATCGATTCAAGAAGATCTGAAAAGGAAATTCTAAAAAAATTCCCAAACATGACTTCTATTAGTATGAACTGTAGTTCACCTCCAATTTTCCACATAGCGACGGGCCTGATGTCCTTGTGCACACTGATGCAGTCCCGGAAGGCCTCTCGGTAGTTCTTCATGGTGAAGTTAGCCTGCGCGCGGAGGGCCCAGTAATCCAGCACGCCCGGGTCCAGCTCCAGCGCCAGGGTGAAGTGTTCCAGCGCCTTCTCGTGACTTCCCGTGTCCCGGAGTACTTGCGCCACCTCGGCCTCCATGGCTGCGGCGGTGGGATCCCGCTCCCGCTCCATCATCCAGGCGGGGTCCGTGTAGCTGTGCTCCTGCAGCCATGCCTCCTCCTCCTCCGCCTTCTCGGCGTCCCCCGGGTAAGGGTCCTGACTGCACAGGCGGAGAGCGTTAAACTCGGCGTTGTCGTCTTGTCCGGCGCTCTCCAGTTCACTCTTGAATTTCTCCAGCAGTTCGGACATCGACATGGTCTCCTCTGCACTCTTCCCTCCTTTCTTGACGTCGCCGTTAGACATCTTAGTTTCCGTTGCCATGTTCTCCCCTTCAACTTGTTAGACAATATACAGGCAACACGTGTTACACAGGAAGAACAGAGAGCGGATTTGACCAGTGCTGTTACAACGCCGGGCGACCGGGAAAATGCCGTCTCTGACACAGGCCAGGCAGCGCAGATAGCTGAGGATATTTTTAGGGAGAGGCGTGTCTATATGTGGCACACAGGCCGCGACATACGCAGCTGCCAGGGAAGATCGTGTAACACGAATCGCAAGGACCGTTAACAGTAGTCGTGTCAATCAAACGAGCAAGTATGAAGACGTGAACTTGGGTCATGTTACGGAACTCGGCATCATACATACATACATACATACATACATACATACATACATACATACATACATACATACATACATACATACATACATACATACATACATACATACATACATACAAACATACATACATACACACAAAGTTACAAAATGTCTAATGAGACTCCAGTTAGAGTAGAAAGGGAATAAACTTTAAACTTTATAAATGTTTGTCACGTTTACTGCTGTGTCCCGCGAATTCTTGAATTATACTTGCAGACTGAATGTAATTGTAGGGTTCAATGCCTTTCGCCTTTTTTTCTGTTCAAACCATATACCAATGGTATTTGAATCAGCGAGAAGCTGTTGCGCTTAGATCAGTCTTTGCTATATCCTTGCCTTGCTATATCATTTGTGGACTGGTGTCCAGATGTTTTATTACATATGCAAGCGAACGAACAGTTGAGTAACCTTAAGAGACTCTCTCTCTCTCTCTCCGGATGGCAGATTGTCGCTATTTGTGGTATTTAGGTAGTTTAAGGGATGCTTAACATAATTAAATTACCATTATGCAAATCAGGATCTAATTTACATGATTAATAAAATTCTATGAGTCTGCTGCGTTTCATATTAGGACAGTTCAAACTAGTGACATATGTAATTAAAAGGACGAGGGACATTGGGAGATATTACTTATGTAAATTGTGGTTCAATTTGCATAATTAATGAGAAAATGCTATAATTCCATACTCTTGGTAAACGGCGAAAATTTAATACTTGTGGCATTTGTCAAGTGGAGTCAAGTGAACATGAACATCATAAAAAACATAACGTTTTTCCAGTCAGGAACTCATTTGCATTATTTATGGTAAATGTTAGAATAGCTTCTTTGATTTATATGATTTTTTTTTAAAATTTGGTATCAGGGTTAACGTTTAAAGGGTCGTGTGGTGTAGCGGCAGAATGCGCGACTCGGAACCTAGAGGTCCCGGGTTCGAGTCCTGACATGCCACCGATCTTGTGACCTAAAAGCCTCCAACAAACGTGTCATCATCCTGAAATCATCACCGAATATCAACGTTAATGTGCTGAAGAGTAGTCTGATGCAGGAAATCTGGTGAATTTGGACAAGTAAAGCTGAAACCAGCCGTCGAGAAGACCCCCATAGTTACGACTGAAAAGGACGTGAAGTTCGATCAGTCCCCCAGTGAGCGATTTCACCGCAGCGGGCTCCTTTACCGGAGCCCCCGCCGGTAAGTGTCATTGAGACCTCTGTATTCACTGCCATCTACAATTATTGTCCATATAGTTTACTTTATTTGGACGTTGGCTGCCGCGATCTGATCTTTGTTTCAGACCCACCACCCACCCCAAATTACGTGACGGAGACGTCCAGGTGCAGCAAATAACAAGACTAATCTCGTCATCACGCAGGTGGGATCGTTCCCTCTTACATTCACTCCTAATCATGCCAAACACACGCAACCAAAAAGGGCAAACCGACGATGATGTGGTTACTGTTAAAGAAATGAAAGAAATGCTTGAACAAAACAAACAGCATTATGAAGACCTTCTAAAACGACAGGAATCCATATTTCAAAATTTCACTCAGATGCTAATGGAATCCTCCAACAAACGGATCGACTCGTTGGTGAGAGAAGTACAGGAACTAAAGACCTCCCTTCAATTCTCACAAGCTGAAATTGATTCACTTAAAGCGTCAGACAAAGATTCGAAAAAGAACCCAACACCATCAGTAGAATCAGAGATGGCCAAAAAGGTTGATTACCTTGAGAATCAAAGCCGACGAAACAACATCATCATCGATGGTATTGAAGGTAGATAGTAACAGTGAATCCTGGGCTGACACCGAGGTTAAGGTTCGGGACATAATCACAAAGAACCTAAAGCTGGAAGCGAAAGACATCGAGATTGAGAGGGCACACCGGAATGGTGCATTCAATAAGAATAACCCCCGACCGAGGCCAGTTGTTGTAAAACTGCTAAGGTACAAGGACAAACAGCTTATCCTAAACAAAGCAAGATCTCATCTAAAGAACACGCACATGTACATTAATGAAGACTTCTCCGATGCAGTTAGAAAGAAGCGAGCAGAACTTCTCCCTGAGCTGAGAGCCGCTAGGAGTCGTGGAGAGTATGCGGTACTGAGCTATGACAGATT